TGGAATTATTTCTTGTACTAATATTTTTGTCACTTCCCGGGCTTTGGCAGATCTAGTGGGGAATGCTTCTGGCCAGCATGAAAAGGTATCCATTAATACCAGTAAATATTGATACCTCCTTTTCTTGGAAGTTCTGAAAAATCGATTTGCCATTGTTGTCCCGACCCATTTCTTTTCCAGTCTGGCCTACTTCTATAATGGGGGTATTCTTAGGATTAGTCTGGAGGCAAAGGTCACACTGTTGAGTTACCTGTCTTACTATGGTATACAGATTTCTAGCTCTAATACTCTTGACCAAATACCGGTATAGGGCCTCCGCTCCTCAGTGCCTTTTCCTGTGTTCCTCTCATACCAGGTGTCTAGCTAAACAAGAGGGAATTATTACCTTCCCTTGGGGAGTGATGGCCCAACCTTCTTCATTATATGATCCTTCCAGGTCTGTAATTAACTTTTGATCCTTTTTAGTATAATTAGGCTTACTTTCTGGGATGATTCTCCCATCAGGAACTAAAACTCCCTCTATTTTTACCTCTCTTTTAGCTGCTTGTTTTGCCTCTCTGTCCGACAGTTCATTTCTTTTTTCTAAATCCGAGTTCACCTTTTGGTGGACCTTAACATGCATGATTGCCACTTTTCTTGGAAGTTGTACAGCTTCTAGCAGTTCCAGAATTTCCTTCCTATGTTTGATGTGTTTCCCTTGTGAGTTCAACAGTCCTCTTTCCTTCCAAATTGCTCCATGAGCATGGACTACCCCAAAGGCATACTTAGAGTCTGTGTAAATATTCACTGTCTTGCCTTGGGCTAATCCTAAAGCACGAGTCAGTGCTATTATCTCTGCCTTTTGTGCAGAGGTATTCGCAGGCAGTGGACCTGATTCCAGTGTTTCTTGGGTGGTAGTAATAGCATACCCAGCATACCTCTTGTCGCTCAAATCATAGCTGCTCCTATCCATAAACCAGTTCTCAGCATCTTCCAGAGGGGTATCCTTCAGATCTGTGCAGCTTGAGTATGTTGCCTCGATGGTCTCCAGGCAATCATGTTGCACTGGTTCTCCTGTGTTTCTACTCAGGAAAAAAGCTGGGTTAATAATGTTAGTTACTACAATCTCCACATCATCTTGTTCTACTAATGATGCCTAATATTTTAAGAACCTTTGGGGCGAAATTCAATGTTCCCTTTTAATTTCTAATACTGCAGACACTGTGTGAGATACAAATACAGTCATTTTCTGGCCTAAAGTGAATTTTCGTGTCTCTTGTATATTTAGGATCACTGCTGCAACTGCTCGTAAGCATCCAGGCCAACCTTTAGCAGTTGAATCTAGTTGCTTGGAGAAATAGGCGACTGCCCGACGATACGGGCCTAGGTCTTGTGCCAGTATTCCCAATGCAATTCCCTGTTTCTCGTGTGAAAAGAGAAAGAATGGCTTACTTAAATCTGGGAGTCCTAAAACCAGAGCTGACATCAGAGCCTTTTTAACAGGTCAAAGACTCGTATAGCCTCCTTATTCCATTGGAGATTTTTCTGTTGAGTGGCAGTTAGTGCATATAAAGGTTTAACAAGCAATCCATAATTATAAATCCATAGTCTGCACCACCCAGTCATTCCCAGGAACGTTTGCAGTACTTTCACTGTCTGTGGCCTCGGAGTCTGGCAGATCGCCTCCTTCCGGGCTTGTCCTAAAGTTCTTTTTCCAGCACCGATTTCATAGCCTAGATAAATCATTTCACATTGCATCACCTGGGCCTTTTTCTTGGATACTCGGTAGCCCTGAAGTCCCCAAAAATTTAAAAGGCTTACCGTCCAAGCCATACAGGTTTCTTTTGTCTTGGTGGCAATTAGGATGTCTTCTACATACTGTAGCAGCCTTCCCTCTTCGGGTGGGGTTGGGGCTTCCCACAATTCGAGGTCTTTTGCTAGCTGGTTACCGAATATAGCGGGGCTGTTCTTAAATCCTTGTGGCAGCACCGTCCTGGTTAACTGGGTCTTCCGCCCACTCCTAGGATTTTCCCATTCAAATGCAAATATTTTCCGACTGGCTTCGAGGAGAGGGAGGCAAAAGAAAGCATCCTTGAGGTCTAAAACAGTAAACCAGATTAGCTCAGGAGTTAATTTTGTCAATAAAGTGTATGGGTTTGCTACCACTGGGTAGAGGTCTTCAGTTATTTTATTTATTGCTCTCAAATCCTGAACTATCCTATATGACCCATCAGGTTTTTGAACAGGTAATATGAGGGTGTTAAAATTAGATTCGCACTCTTTTAATAGTCCTATTTGCAAAAATTTTTCTATAACTGGCTGAATCCCCTCCCAATCCTCCTTTTTTTAAAGGGTATTGTTTAATTCTTACCGGTTGTTGTCTTTCTTTGAGGTTTACCTCTATGGGCAGAGCATTCTTCACCCTTCCAGGTGTGTCAGTGGCCCACACCCTGGGATACACTTGACTGACAATTTCCTCGCTAATTTTTCCTTCTGTGGGAATACTGGTTAGAGATAAGCTCATGAGTTGTATGAGTTCTTGGTCATTTACCTCCAGAGTAATCTCTCCATTGCTAAAGGTAATAGTTGCTCCTAATTGTTCTAGTAAATCCCTCCCCAGGAGTGCTTTTGTGGAGTTAGGCATATAGAGAAATTTGTGTATGCCTAACTGCTTTCTCAGTTTATATTTCAAAGGTTTGTAAAAATAGTAGCTAGTAGCTCCCTTATAATCCTTTCCCAGGGCAAGCACTAAAGGGTCTTGCGGAGGGACTAATCCGCAGTCCCTTTGCCACTCCGGGTGATTTCAGAGGGTAAAGAACATGTCCGCATAAGACACCTCATCCTACTTCCCTTCCCTCCGTAAAAATAATATTAATTGCAAAAGCGTGTTAGAGTCTAAGGTCCCATTTAGTGGCATTTAGCTGCTGCTGCTTCTAGTTTGTAAAGTGGCCACCACTGCTTACAATATTTAATCAGGATTTTCTTGCTTTCCGTACTTCCCCTCCCGGCTATATTTTTTCAGTGCGTGAGTATGCAATCCAATGGGCTTTTCTTTTACAATTTTTTCCTGCTTATTTCCCATAATTGTTCCTTCTTCCCAAAATCATTTTTTTTCCACTTATAGTAGTTTCTACACTGTCTTTCAACCTTCTCCCACTCTTCCTCCTTCACTTCCAAAAGTTCCGGTATCTTATGACTTCTTCCACACAATATTTATCAACTCCTGTCTTTCGACCGAGAGGTCTAATGAAACCGCTTCTCAGCACTCTGCACACTTCGACCTTCTCTTATCAGACTCATAATACCACTTACATCGACAATCTACGCACTCTGCTAATACCCAAGCTTGATGAAAATTACGAAAGGTAGGAACATAGGAGCACAGAGAAAGCAGGGGATTCTCTCACAATCCCAGTCTGGTACTACCAGTTACCCAGAAGGAGCTGTGTACAATCCTTCTAGCAGGTATAAATCATTTCCCCATGCCGACCATTCACTCCTTCTACACAAATAATCCAACCAAGTCTAACCTAAACCGACAGAGAAGGGATTCACTTTCCCATCTCCGGCTCATACAATGTTTTTACAAGACATACAAGAACAGTGTATTATTTAAACAAATATAAACTTCTCACAAACTTCTTATTTATCTTGCAGCAGCTGCCTCTCACTCACACAGCGGCAGCGGCGTCTCACTCACACCCTGCCCCTGCAGGCATGCAGGCACACAGACACACAGCAGCGGCTGCTCTCACTCACACAGCGGCACACAGACACTTAAAGGGCCCATCACACTTTTCACTCATACCACAAAATATACCGAGTTTAAACAATCACCAAATCCGTTTGTAACATATATCATAAACCATTAACAATTAGCAGTCAGTTCAAAGCCAGTATATCCACAATTAGTGCACTATACAATGACCTAAAGCAAGATCCTGCAGGTGACGGTAATTACCAGTACCCTGCCCAAAATGCAAACTGCCTCTTATATATAGCAGTCATCGGTAGTTTGCCCCAAAAGATCTTACTTTCCCGCAGATTCCCAAAGCCAAAACCAAATGGGTATACCCCCTCCTCGGGACTGAGCCGTGCGCCAGACGTCTCTGTGCTTCTTACCAGCAGCCCGTTACCCTTGTAAACATACCTCTGTCCGCGAGCCAGATGGTCCTTGTCTGCTCCCGCACTGGACAGCTGGGAGCGGAGTTCCTCCGAGAAGAGCTCGGGGTGCACCTAGGACGTCCACCCTCCAGCAGTGTCCCGGCAGCCGAGCAGAGATAGGTCCCATCTGGGGCGCCAAGCTGTTTTGTGGAGAAATCACTCCATAACTTTTGGGGTTATAATGTGGGTATGTTTATTCAGCGCTGGGCGCATGGGGGATCGCTCCACCACAAGCATGCGCACCGTCTGCAGCTCTCGTCCGGCTTATATGTTACAAAATAGTGCATATTCATAAAACGCCTATACTTATACATAGTCTACCCCCGCCTCCCCTCGCTTCTCATGGTAATCAGGTCTCCTCTTCTTCTTCGCTGATGAACTTTTCTCCTTATCGCTCTGCGCAGCCTCAGTTGTTCTCTGGCTTTCTTCCAGTCCAATGTTTTGGGGTTGTCTGTTTTTCAGAGACTAGGAGGGACTTCTCTTTGGGCTAGGAGTTAATCGCCTAGCAACGTTATCAGTACTTGGTATGTCTTTTTCGAACAATCCCATACGCCTCCCCTTGTTTTTGCGCAGGCCTTGCACCATCAATCTAAGATTGTTTAGACTCCCTGTCTCAAGAACGAATACTTTAATTAGACAAGTCTTCCCTAAGCTGCAGGCACCCTTCCTGCAGCACAGACAAGGCTGGGGCAAACTTGCAGGCTCGTAGTTCCCCCTCACTTTTCCCAATTTCCCTCTACTTCTCATGATGCTCCATGGCCCCCACAAGGTCTTCAAGCTCCTGCTGCTAAAATGATGTAAATCCAATATAAAAAGAGGTAATTCATTAAATCAAGTTCACTCTCAGTGCAAACAATAGGACCAAGAGCATCACTGGGATACAGGAGTTGCACATAGAGGACCTGGTGCAGAGGGAAATACATGTGCTGGGAAGGGGCTCCCTCTACTGTCTGAGCTGAAATAACCTTAAAAAAGGTTCAAAGTAAAGACAAAATACTGAAAATGGAGGCCATGAATCTGTGATTGCTCAAGTGCCTACATCATCTCACTGCCACTGGAGAAAGAGTACTGAAATATACTTATGCACTGAGAGTACAACTGTGTTTGAAGTTTAAAAAAAAAAAAATCACATAAACATTTCCACAAGCTAAAAGGATGCATACAATTAATGGCACTTCTGTCACTGAAATAATGTTTCTCAAAATGTTATTGAAGCAGGTTTAACCCAAATATTTTACTCTAGTTTCCAACCTAGATGATTCTATGATTTTCAAGATAAGATCACAAAATCAAGTTGTAAGAGACATTTTAAGGAAGCTGAATCACAATTTAGATCCTTCAACTGGAAACTATAAAAAAAAAAATGTTCTGAGCAGGCTACTTGATTAACTCCTCAGCCCATGGAAGATTAAATACAGTCAGGATGGAGTGCAGTTTGTGTGCAGAAGACCACTGTTTCTCAAGGTGTGTCTGAAGCCTGCACTGTTCCCACTGCCTAAGATCACCATTTGAGTGTCAATGCAATCGTGTAAACCCCAGAATAAAACAAGTAAATTGGATATTCTGATGTTGAGAAATATAAAATTGAGATTACTGAATAGGAACTAGTAATATTCAAGTATATCTTGAAAAATTCAGATGTTTAGGAATTATAATTTCCAAATGGTCATCTCGGTGCTCTTTTGAAATCAAAACAAGCAGTGAAGTTTAATGCTGTAGTGGACCTCTTCCTCTTCCCCACCTCCTACTGACAGAGAAGTAATTACCTGGGTAAGTCTCAGGCAGGCACAAACCCAGGCTCAAGCTCTCCCTCCCAGGTCTGTTGCTGGTATCCTCTTTCCATCTTGTTTCAGACATCTGTGTCCTCTGGCCTTCCTACCTCAAACACAGAGCTCACAGCCTCTCAAATCCAAGAGCCTATGACAAATCCTGAGAGGTGCAGGTATACTCTTCCTCCTTGGTACCACGGCTGGGACTCCAGGCTGCTCTCCTGCTCCCAATTCTCGGACCTGTCTTCCCTGCTGCCCTTCCCTTCTCAGGCTCACAACCCTAGCACAGATCAGCAGTATTCTCCCTGGATCCTGAGCCCCTTCTCCTTCTTCATTACACCTGTAGTCACATTCTGCAGTGCGGTTTCTCTCCCCAGCCTCCCCTGAAGCTGCCATCATCTACAGAGTTATTTTCCATGGCTGAGCCCCTGTACTTTCCCTTCATGGCCATGCCAGAATCCACATGTGGTTTGCCAGAATCCATGCGTAGTTTACTCCCTAAGGAGCAGCACTCCTTCAGCTTTTCCAGCCTCTTTCCATCATCTCTCATCAACTTCAGTTCACTGATATAGTGTCAGATTCTACTGATTTTTTTCCCCCTCTACTGAGCAGGTATCCTTTGCCAATCCTGTTCCTGTAACACAGTCTTGCATTTCCACCAGCTCCCTTTTATAAATCTGATTTTAAGTAGTACTTTTAGATTGATTTCAGATTGATGCTAGATTGATTTAAACTGGTGTTGAATTTCTCCAGCAAGCTTCTCTCCTCCATTCAAATATAGTATCTTAGACACAGACTTCTGTAGCTACTGACTTGCCACTTTAAGCCAAAACAGGTTCTTGAGCTCTCAATTCATACCCCTTTCAGTAATGTAGAGCAATGCCTATCACCAGTGTGATTCCATCTTCTCTTTACTGAGATCATCTGCTGCTCTTGCCTCTTTCTATGCACCACTTTTTTGTTCCACGTGGATAACTTATTCGCTGCAGTCAGGTGTTTTTCAAAACAGATTAATAATAGGCAATACTGGATTAGACCAAAACCAATCTTCCTCAGCATCCTACCTCAAACAGTGGCCAAAAATGGTTGCTTTAAAGAGGAGTATAAAACCAAAATATCCTATCTTCCTCTATTGCCAGTTTCCAAACACTTTTAGCCCACAGGCTTCCTGAACTAGGCAAAGATCTCCGTGCATTTTGTAATCCTCAACAGACTGCTTTTTCCAAAGACTAACAGGTGTCCCTGTGGACTCCCACAAACTTCTATCATGGGCATCCATAGGAGGGATGACACTTCTCACATGGCCACTGCAACAAGAACCATCACCTGTTCACTTTTGAACCTGTTTTTAGTCTTCTCCGATGCACTTAGTTCTTGTAATGAAGAAAAAAAGAAAAGATCAGATAACACGTATCCTCACTTGCTGTATCACTTGTACCTACTTTACTCTGCCAGTCTGCTCAGGATGTGGCAAGTCAGAAAGGCCTTGGCAGCAGCTCTGAGCCCTATAACCAGTCCTATTCACTGCCAGAGGATAAGATTCTGACTACCCAATTTAGCCTCACTTAAACCTCAGTTTCCCCTTTCACACTATTACTCCACATATTTTATGCTAACAATTTAGCATTAACATCCCTTCTCTTCGAGGTCATTTGACACAGGAGGAAGATGTCGACGGTATCTGCAGGCAGACTTTGCATCACCCAAGTCTCTTGCCAAGATGACCCCGCTCCTTGGCATGTTTGGCAGGGAAGGAATTGTGACCTGATTTGCCTCTCATGTCTCTCTCTTCCTATTGCCTTAATTTCCCAGTTCTGTTTTTACTTTGGAGCACAGAGGAAAAGAGCTGGACAAAAACATTACATGACAGAAAAAAGTTCAAACTACTGCCAGGCTTGCTAGCTCGTATGCTATTCTGTATGCAGGCCTGGGATTCCACATTTTAAAAACATGTTTCAGTGAGGTTCTGAGCTTGTAAGAAGGCATCTCGATCCTGACTGAGACCTCTAAAACAGAGCTTAACACATCAGCGCAACAGGGTTCTATCATGCAAGACTTCAGCACAGACTGCAACAGCTGTCTTCTGACTTTCATATCTATATGTTGCTCTTATCCAAAGTCCTTCATTAGGCAAAGGCTCTACATTTACTTACTATGTAATCACTGTCTTCATCTTTGGGACCTTCGCTGTAATACACATGGTAAGCTTTGGCCACTTGGTCAATCTGTGCCTTGGTACCAGTCAATCCAATCAGCTTTGGAGAAAATTCTAGATAGAAAGAAGAGATTTACACGTTTTAGTGAAAAGAATCCCATCAAGAGCCTCCTTTTCAGTGCTCTATATTACATGCTATAAGACATCAAGGAAGAAAAGAGTAATACCTTTAACATCTCTGGCAATGGCTTCTTCATTGTCCCTCTCAGGATCAATGGTGATGAAGAGTGGGGTCAGATTAGGCAAAGATGGAATTCTATCTGTGACATTAACAATTATTATTTTTCTTAGAGAACTAAAAATCATTTGTCACCTCCCTTTAAACAAGCTCACAGCCAAACTATCATCACATCAATCCAAGTCCACCCTAAGGCCATTTTGTGCATCTTAATTTATGTGATTTGTGAAGGAAGCAAATGCTGTGAAAGCCAACGGTCTGTGCTTGTGCTGGCTGCAGCTACACTTCCAGCCTCTCAGCTGGAGACCCTGCCCTGCTTCGGAGATGACAAATTGGCTCTGATGCAGAAAATACATGATGCATTTATCATTTCAATACAATGAATGTACCCTTGTGATGGTGGAGTGGGAGGGTGAAGACACAATTCAGGCTCTTTCCCTCACGTTCCAGCCACAGCTTTCCCTCTATGTTCTTCATATTAGCCCACCCTCCCACCTCCCTCGTTACTATTACCTCTGCTCTGTAACTCTTCAGGGCCTGCAGGCTGAGAAAACCACCTCTATCACACAGCCTTCCCCCAGCCTCTGTTCCACAGCACGCTCTCAGAAGGGACTTTTGCAGAGAGTTGTTCTCAAAATGAATAAGAGAAAGAAAAAAAACCTTAACACACCCCACAACCACTTCTTGGCAAAACTCCAATGCAGTTGCACCGTTCCCTGTAACCTGTCACCATCATGTTTTAATACAAGTCCCCTGTTGCAGAAAGATCAGTACCGTCGTTCTCTAAATACCAGATCCTAGTGACGGGCAGATGGACGGATGTCAGCATCACCTAGCAATTAATTCAACTACTGAGTAGCAGTCAAGCTTTTTTTTTTTTTTTTTTTTTTTATTTTTTTTTTTTTTTTTTTTTTAAAAAAAAAAAAAATCATGTTATTATTGTTTGAGGTATTTTACCACAATAAACCTGAAGCTCCCATAAAAAGCACCACTATTCCAACCAAATACCTGTTGGAGAACGGCTTGCAGAGAGCAAGGCCATAGCTCCCTGCAGGAGCTGGTCGGCCATAGCTCCCTGCAGAAGTCGGTCACAGCCACCTGAGGTAAACAGAGGAAAAAACCCAGCATACACTGATGATAGCAAGGACTGTTGTGAGAACAAGGAGAAAAGTTGGGGCACATTATGACCTTGGGGGTTAGAGGAAGGCAGCCCTGGGAGAGAAGCAGGTTCACAGCAAGAAAGATGTTTATGCATACCAGAGATGCCACAAGGGGCTGGGATATTATAATGTGACCTTTTAGATGTACCCAATGGCTGAGATATTATAATGCAGTTTCTTAAATGTATCCAATAGAGTTGCAAGTAGTGTATTGTAGATTGCTTATATAAGGTGTGATTTCTTTCAATAAAGTTGAAGCTTGCTCTATCATTCCCATTGAATCGGCTGCTTGCTTCCTCCGCCTGCCGCAAATACCCATATCAATTTCATCTACCACTTCAATCATCTTCTCCAGTTCGTCAGGACAGATGTCAGGGCAGTGGGTAAAGCCAAAGTAGATCAGCACCCACTGGCCGATGTAGTCCTTGCTGGTTTTGGGCTGTCCCTCATGGTTAAGGAGTGAGAAGGGACCTCCTAGAACTGGTTTCCCAATGCCTCGGTTCCGTTCCTTCTCCAGGTCTAACAAAAACCAAAAGGGGATCAAACACATCCACGCCACAACCCACGCTGCTTCCAAAGAGAAGCTTCTGAAGCAGCTGAGATTCAGGAAAACTCTCCAAGTCACAGCCCGGGATGCTGAAATGTCAAGGTCTACCAACACCCGTTGTGCAGAAGCTCCACGTGGACAAGACTTGCAAAAAGCACTCCATTTTAGTCAAAATTGTACATATCACTAAACTCCTTTGAAACACCATAATCTCCTTCACTATCACCTGCAGTAGTTCTGAATTTAAGCACTAAAAACATGAAAATGAAACCCATGGGCAGTTCCTGCAGGAGAGTAAAATGGACACACACAGTACCCTGAGTGAAACCAGCAGAAAGCCCCAGTGTGCTGCATCGAGTGGCTGCAGCGTGCGTGACAAAAACCCAACCACTCCAACCGCGAAAGTGCATTTAAAAATTCGAGAACGCTTAACCTTGAAGGGTTTTTGAATTTATGAAAAATTTCTGTGGCACATCTATACACGTAGGCACAAAGCAGCACTGTGTAAAGCATACCGTGATTCAGTGGGGTGCCCAAGTAGATAAAAGACACCCGAATATACAAAGTACATCATCTGAATGCAAACTACAACCCTGCGGAGGCTTCTCCCGCCTGGCCGCACGCCGGCAGCCCGGGCCGCGCCCCTCCGCGGCAGCGCGTCCTCCC